GAACTTTAAATCTTCAAATGTTGCTCATAATATAATGGCATTACATGTTTTGAAGCACATCTTGGAAGGCAGTTAGCTAAACTTCATCTGATTTCTGCAGACTGTCACCCAAATTCAATTCATTTTCTGCTGTTTTTCAATAATTAATTAAAAAAGAATTTCCCCTGAGTTTATCTGGTCTGCTGTTGTAGGCCATTTGTTATCAGCTCAAAGTTCTCAATTAGCTCTAGTGTTGTTATAATTACCGGATGTGTTTTTAGACAACTCCCAGCTAATAACTGTTGGGATGAAGAGTCGTTTTTTTGCTACAGACTAGACTGTGCACGCTTATACTTGCTGTGATGTTTTGACAATGATTCATTAACCAATAATAAGGCCCCAAGTGGAATCATTAGGCATCGGTGCCTTTGCTAGGCTTACCTTTTATTTTCTTCCTCAACATTGTCTTTTCTTGACTTGGTTTCTGGATAATACCCAAAAGACTCCTTATGATACAAAACAGTATCATGAAGACAGCTGTCATTAAATTCAGCTACTTGTAACAAAGCTCCTTCTAAGAGTATGCTCATTGTGGAAACTCGGGATAGAAAAGTATCATAAAAAGAGGCTATATTGAGAGAGAATCCATGGATTAAAAGACGCTTTATTGCACCAGCTCATAGAGATCATGCACTGGGTCTTTCAATGTCATATTTACATCTGGTCCATCGTCATATCACTCAAGTTTGAAGTTCCTTGCTTTACAATAAGTGGATCGTTTTTACTTCTTGAATATCTGAAACAGAAATGCTATAAAATTGATCACTGGTCCACTTGGGTTTATAAAAGATCAATATTGTTGTCAGGAGTACAATTTACTTTAAAGGAGCAAAAAAGTGTTTGTCACTCACTGTTTTGTAGAATCTCTGCCCTGTCTTAGTATCATGGTTGCTTATTGACGTTCTGCGGGATCTTACCATTGTGAGATGACTTGGGGCTGAATGAAGGCCCATTTTGATCCCTTCTTTGATTTCTATTACAGACTTCCATCAAATAGGTTTTATTTCTTTAGTCAAAGTCATTTTAGATGCTACTTGGCACTTTCAGTAATTGTGTATAAAGAATTTTGATGTTCTCGAGTCTTATGTACTGGATGGTAAAGCCTTGCCTTGGGAGTAAGAATTCTGTGAAGTGTTGTTTGACATCAACCAGATCATTTAACCCCCTGCAGCTAAGACATATGGGTTCTTGACAGTATATGTGAAAGTGCCTGACGGATTTAGCAGTGCTTAGCCTCAGGGAGAAATGGTTGTGGAAAGTTTTTAAAATGTGCTGGGAAAAAAAAATGAAATATTTTGTTTCTTTATTGGTCAACATCTAAGTTTGAGTTGCTTTATATGCCTTTTACAACTTTTATCAATGTGTAAAATCCTCTTCGGAGCAATGAAGATGCCAGACTGTAACATTAAAAAAATTACAGGGTACATAGTAATGAATATTTCTAAAGATTGAACTTAATGATGGAAATTCAGGTCCAAAACTGAAGTTCATAACAACTAGATGCTCCTTGCCCCACACAGAGAAACAGAACAGCCTCTTCCTACAAACAAGTACTGTCCTTGCTGTTGAAAGCTCAGGGGTTTATGACTTGGTTACTCTCTAAGTAGGAGGGACTGACCTCAGAGTCACTTATGCTTTCTTGACCTGTTTCCTCTTCTGAAAAATTGGCAGTTGAGCAAGTAAACTCTTTCCAAACTCTAAATTCTTCTAAGATACTCTAATAGAAATAGAATATTAAAAAAATTTTTACCCTATCCCTTTAAATATGAAAACCAGAGAATGCCTCTATATGCATTATTTTATTTCCCAGAGTAAGTTCAAATTTAAGGCCATTTAGGAAAAAATTTTGAAGGTTGTTCATTCTTTTTTTAAAATAATTTGCCCATTTTTATTTTATTTTTTGTGTAGTCATTTTTTTTTTTTTAAATTGTACTTTAGATGAAGGTTTACAGAACAAACTAGTTTCTCATTAAACAATTAATACACATATTGTTTTGTGACATTGGTTGGCAGCCCCATGACATGTCAACACTCTCCCCTTCTCGACCTTGAGTTTGCCATTACCAGCTTTTCTGTCCCCTTTGAAGGCTCTTCATTCTACCTAATGCTTATAGAAATGTCTTCACTGTGTACCCTGAAGCTGCTGCTTCTTTTACAAAAATATTGCAGCAACAGTTTGGGCCGTGACTTTCCTGAACTAATTCCTCATATATGACATTGTTTTCCAAATATCACTGACACATGATTCCAACTATCTTCAGACACCTGTTATCTTTCCAGACTCTCAATTCTAATCACTTCCAGTTAAAAGCCATGCGTAGGGAGCTTTTATACTATATTGCAGTATATGTAAAATATATCTAACATAGGAGACAGTTTATCCTTATAGATTACACGGTATAGGAGTCAGTCTGTCCTTATAGATTCCTTATAGATTACATGGTATATATAACATGTATACAACATAGGAGTTAATCTATCCTTTTCTTATCAGGGGAAAGCCTGGTGGCGTAGTGGTTAAGAGCTATGGCTGCTAACCAAAAGATGGGCAGTTTGAATCCACCAGGTGCTCCTTGGAAACCCTTTGGGGCAGTTCCACTCAGACCTATAGGGTTGTTATGAGTTGGAATAGACTCGACGGCAATGGGTTTGGTTTTTGGTGGTTTCTTATCAGGAAGGTAAGAGAGAAAAAAATAGATACATTTATTTCTAGGTAACTTCCCAGTTTTCATTCTGCTAAGAAAGAGTAGAAATAGTTTAAGAAATCAAAAGATCCAATGTAAAACCAAAAGGCTTTATTCTCTGATTCTTATTCAGCCCCAATTCTAATTGGTTTGAAAATAAATAAATAAAATGTTTTTTCTTCCTAGAAAGTAAAAATATGGCACCATATAAAAGGGCCCCCTATTTTAAATCTTGCATGAAGCAAACCTGGACTGCAGTTTGAGGATAATGCTGGGTCATCACTTTTAATGCAGACAAGTTGGGTGGAGTTTCTCTTGCCCATGTCCATTCCTGGAGTATGTTTGGTCTCCTACGTATGCTGTCTACACAATGTGAAGGACTTTGAAAGCAGCCACAGCCCGTTTTTCTCTTTCGTGTCTGCTCTGCAGCATTTCCAACAGTGGGATTTTAGGTAAACTGTCTTCCTTTCCAGTAGAGGCTGGATTTTTTGTTTCCTTTGATGCATGATCAGTCAGATTTGATGATTTGGGCTTCGGGATGGTCTTAGCATATTCCAAAGCCTAAAAGCATAAAGATAAAATTTTAGTTGAAATGAGAAGTGAGCTCGAGATTTCTAAAATTAAATCTAGTCTTTGGAGATGCTTATTTATAATATAAATGGAGATTACTGCTACAGCCACTTCCCTAAGACATAGATGCAGATTGAGATCCAATGGAAAATGCAAATACTGTGATATAACACACGGTTTAAACAAAATAAATTAGCCACAAAACAATATGCTGTGGAAAACAAAAGTTTAATACATACAGTTGTGTCCTTGGGATGTTTTCTTCATAAAACTTAGTTTTATTCAAGTGTTTGGAAATAGATTGTCTAATGTGTTTTTCTATTTAGTTTTTGGCAGTCTTATTAAAACCAAACTTCTATTAAAGAGATAGCAAGAGATTTTCCATCCAAAGAGTTTGCAACCAGAGACAATGCTGTAGCTGATATAAAATTGAGCCTCTATTACATCAGTTATTCTTGTTCCTAGGCTCTTAGAACTCTAGAAATTATTAGAGGTTGAAAATTACTTTTTCTTTTCTTTAGTATATCTATAGAAACCTAGATGCTGACAAAAGGTAGTCCTTTTTTTGTGATATCAGTTCTGAAAGGCAGTACAATGGAAATGAGATAACTAAATATGATTTTGAAATCTGCCATCATATCAGTTTTGTTATTGAATAAGAACTTCTTGATAGCTGAAATGGGAATGGACAGTATATTTAGATCCTGGAAGGGGGAAAACCTCCACAACATAGAAAAACTCTAGACTTCCTAGTGTATGTAGGTGATTTATATAGGAATTTCTGATTGTAGATTTGTTGTCTTGAATCTTCTCATGAAAAAATTATGGATTGGAGGAAAAAAAGTGGCACTGTGAAACCTCAATCAAGTGGATTGAGGTCTTCAAGGTCTGAGGAAGAAAGGCAAAAAATAGAAAATACTATGGTCTATGAAACAGCACGTTAAGTACAAATTCCTAAAAGCACCAAAGGATCACTTGTCCCTCATGCAAAGGGTCCCACATCCTTGCCAGAATTGGATAGATCGATTGAGGCAGAGGCTTGTACTGCAAAGCTCTGTGTCTCCATAATATATATTTATTAACATCACAACTTGTGGTTGGATGCCATCTGAGAGAGAGAACACTCTGTATTTTATGAAATCACTTTTCTTAGATAGAAACCAGTTGCTGTTGAGTCGACTCCACCTCATGGCGACCCCATGTGTATTATAGTAGAGCTGTGCTCCGTAGGGTTTTCAATGGCTGATTATTTTGGAAGTAGGTCACTGGGTCTTCTGAGACACCTCTGGGTGGACTTGAACCTCCAACCTTTTGGTTAGCAGCCGAGTATGTTACCTGTCTGTACTACCCAGGAATTCCTCCTTGGAAAAATGTAGGGGAATGAACTTGAAAGAAACAATAAAGAACTTCTCTTTGACACAGGAGCCAATAAACAGCAAGAAGACACTGATTTCCTCAAAACTTATTTAAGGGTAGAAAATGAAATTGGTAGTTAATCAGGATTGCTAATTTCTTCTAAGAAATCAGTTTATTCTTTAATGTTTGTGGGTGACAAACTTAAAATACTATCTTTGGAAGTAAACAGGTGGAGGATTAAAGGCAATGAACTTCAGAATAAAACGGCCACTCTTACAGCACCACATGTATGTATGCCACTGTGACATACCTGTGAGTGATGAGTAGCTGCAGGGATGGCAGTAGCTATATCATCTCTCATGTTCAAAAAAATGGGGGAATTTATTATGTTATGAGGTAACAAAAGTTTCCTTTTGAGTTAATTCTGATGGAAAGGAGAAATAATGCCTTTATGGGAATTTCTTACCTTCTGCCGAGGGATGGCAGATTTCGTCTCAGTTTTTGCTGTTTGCGGTTTTGACAGAATGCATAGTGTCTTCATGTTGTACTCCTTAACTTGTTTCGCATATTCCTTTTGCTGTATTAATTTGTGCATCTGTTCAGAGAAGCAAAGGTATGATGAATCACAGGTCCTGCTAGATCTCTCTGCTCTATTTAAAGTGACACTCCTTGAGCCAGGCATATTGTATCAGCAGCACAGCAGAAGGGGGGTTGCCATGTGCAGGGTGACTGCGGCGAAATGGCAAAGTGAGTGCTTCTCCTGGAAACAGTGTCTCTCTGAGGAGGGGCATCCCTGAATAGCACACTCGGTGCTCCCTCAACAGTGGCTGAATCACATTCAGCCTTCTTTGTTGCATTTACCCAATTTATTTTCATTTTTGCTTCCAACTTTGAATTATACTTTCTTTTTATGCTTGAGTGCAACTGCAGTTAAAACACATTAAATGAAGATGTCTTTTCACTAGAGGAAAGAGAATAAAGTGATGCACTTTTCAGGGTCGGGAAACTCTTACCCTGAGTGTCTTCTCTGTAGCCACACTTCAAAATTATCAAGATATCTTTGTTGGGAAAGACCAACAACCACATAATATTCACATTTCTTTTCATGTACATGTGTCCCACTTTTCTGCTCAGGCCTTCAAAACTAAGAGGTGGATACATAAAACAACATTGGCCAAGTATTTTTATTTCACAGAAAAAGGAGCATCTAGCTCTCTATTACCAGTGCTACTTCAGAGGCATCTCTACTCAGAGCGAGATATTTGAATTAAGACTTGGCTTGAGGGGCCATCTTTATATAGTCTTGCTAAAAGACAGATAGGTGGAGTCCAAGCCTGAAAATGCAGTATGTGCATCACACTCACTTTGTCTCTGATGGACTCAATGTCAGGTCCCAGGCCTCCAAGCTTCACGTCTCTTTTCTGATAACCTTTCAGCTTGGAACTCTACGAAGACAATCAGAGACAGTTTAAGTGCTTGTACATCCTCCCAACTTGCCGTAGCCACAAAAGAAAGGGAGGAAGGAAAATGAAGAATGGGAAGACTGTGGGCTTGTGTTGGAGTGTGGGTGCATCTCCTGAAAATTCTTCCATTTCAACGGTAATTATTGATGATAGTCTCTTTGGTGATTTGTAGCTAGTTCGCTTACATGTTTCAACTTTTCTACTTCTGCAATAAAAAAAACAACTGAACTTCTGAAAATTATCAATAAAAAATTTCAAGCTAGTGAAGTGTTGCTTTGTTATTACTGTTTTTTAATGTTACATGTACATTACCACTTTGCCACTGCTGCAGTTACTTCACATCCAGTGTTGCATGGTTCGCTAAACCAAATGTTTCCCCTGGAAAAGCCAATCTGCATGAATTAGGCAAGCACATTACTTCAAAAAGAATCAACCTTGTCTTACGCTGCTGTAGCTTTGTCCATTAGTGACACTACTGGATGGAAGCGAAGAAAGTAGCAGCTTTTAAAATTTCTTATTGATAGCTGGAAAAAAAGATAATTTACAAAGAAAAAACAACTGCTTATAATCCAGGTACAATTAAAAACAAAGTAAACATTTAAGGGTCTTGAAAAATTCTACTGAGAAGCACATTTTGTTTGGGCACAAAGAAACTGATGTAACTCATTAGAATTATACATTTAAAAGGACAGAGAAAGACAATTTAATTGTTAGATTATAGCACTTAAGCACAATAATAATAATAAAAAAACCAAACCCGTTGCTGTCGAGTTGATTCCGACTAACAGTGACCCAAAATACTAATACTCTCCTGACCTTAGGGCAGATGAAGACGTTCCCCAACCTGTCACTTTCAACATTAAAACTGAAGTTCAGACTTGCCACTTGCAGTAGGTCCTCTCGTGGGGAAACCAATCCTTTTTTTCTTTCAGTTTGTGAATTAATTTGATTTCCTTCTTTGGGAAGGATAGCAAAGACAATGCAAAAGACGGCAGTAATTAGGCTGGGGCACAACTCTGTTGTGCTTGTAAGGGAGAAAGAAAAGCCTCCTGAAGAGGCAGATGCTTGGTACTTGCTGTGATGATACTAATTAATCTAGATGTTAATGATGAGGTTTAATATTTTCATACATTTTGAAAGCTCCTTTTAAGTATTAAGTCCCAAGATATACAATATATCTAATATGCTCTTTTCTAAGATATAATTTGGCAGAGATACTGGAGAGACTTAAACAAAATAAACATTTCTCATATTAGATAAATTAATGATTATAACTCTCCAACCTTAAAAATGAATTCATGTATACATATTGTATTAACAATTACAAGAATGGGTTCTACTCACAGTGAACTATTGACTAGTGGCCTCCCAGAGGTCATCATCAATTAGCTTCTCCATTGCAACTTCCCACTATAGGGCTCTAAAGACAAATCCTTTTTCCCCAAACTCCCCAGAACTGAGCCCTAGCCCAAGAGGTGTAAGTGGGAGTTTGTTGGAAGCTTTTATTTGGGCTGGTGTAACCCCTTCCCCTTCCCTCTTTCTTGCCTCAAATATGGACGTGATGGCTTGAGCTGGAGCTGCAGCAGCAATCTTGCAGCCAAGAGAAAAAAAAGCATAAGATAATCACACAAATATTGGTTCTGATGTTTTGAGCTGCAGAACTACCAGCACTAGTGACCACCTACAGTGGACTAAATGCATGTAAGAAGAAAAAAACCTGTATTTTTGGAGTCACTCTAAATGGCAATTCTGTTACCAGTAGCTGAAGGCAATCTTTCTAACATCTCAGTGCTTCCATATCATAATTCAAAAGGGCCCAAAATCATGTGACATTTAGGCAACACTTCTACACTACAAGGATTAAATTTTCTGTAAATAGACTTTGCCCAGTTAGAATGCGGAACATTTACAGTCAAAACACTTTTAGTGTGTCTAATTCTAAAAAGTGAGAGAAAATCCTGTTTTAAGGAAGGTCGCTATGGGTCAGAATTCTCTCAATGGCACAGGGTTTTGGTTTTGGACTAAAATTATTTGAAAAATTAATAGCCTTAAAGTATACAGAAAAAAAACTGTTCATTGAAGGCTACTTCAAAATCATAAATCTCATTTAATAAAACCAAAGTCGTCACCCAGCAAAATCACTATTAATACCTGCTTCCAGCTCTTTGTATCTATCTGCTCATACTTTTACAAAATTGTCCATACACTACAAATTATTTATATCATATTTTTCACTAAGCATTTTAACATTATACTTTATTTCCCAGTCAGTAAATTTTTTTAAAATTGTGGTTTTTATGCATAATATTCACTTGTCTAGTTACAGTTGAATTATTTAACATTTGAGATAAATTCACAGAAATGGAAGTATTGAGACAAAATGATGAACACAGGGAAGCCCATAAGTTAACACTTCCATTAGCAATGTGTAAGAATGAATGGTCTTTTGTCCAAACATTGATTACACAGGGTGTTGTCACATTTTAAAACTTTTGCTAACTTTAAATAGGTGAATGAGGCAGGGTCAAAATGGTGGAGTAGTCAGACACTTCCTTTGGTCCCTCTTACAACAAAGACCCAAAAAAACAAGTGAATCGATTAGATATGACAATCTAGGAGCCCTGAACATCAAAGGCAAAGTTGAGGAATCGGACTGAGTGGCAGGGGGAGGGAGAGACAGTTCAGAATCAGCGAGGAGTTGCCAGACCTGACTCGGGGGGAACTAGCACCCTGCAGCCAATGCACACAGTAAGGCAAGCAGTGGTGCTTGGGAGGCATTTTCCACATTGGGAGAGACCTAGCAGCAGTCTACTTGAGCATCCAGAACCAGTGAAAAGCAGAGCTCAATTGGCAAAAGATAAGTACTTGTGCCTGAACTACTCTGTGGATCAAAAAACACCTCCTTTGGGAAAATCCTCTCTCCCATTTACCTACCCCCTCCCCGCTCTGCACCAGTCCCCAGGCCAGCTTCAATGATTGCTGAGTCCCCTGGGCCAGAAATAGGACCTGTCATGTACCCTGAGCCATTCTCCTGGCCTTGGAGAGGGAACAAATTAACAAACAGGGAAAAATAATCTGCCAGCTCCCCTAAGCCAGGAACTCAGGGTAGGCACAGCTCCTTTGCCTAGGCACAGGCATAATGGATCCATGGACTTTGAATGCTTTTCACCCCTGCATAGACATGTGTGGGCCCATTTCAACAATGTAGGCCGTCATTACCACAGTACAACAGGGTATATACCTGAAGTCTAACTTCAACTGTTTCAGCTATATGGTGAAGTGGCAGTTTCATGACATTTGACACTGCTCTGCCCATTAAGCAGGGTCTTCATCTACCCACATCAGGGGCCTGAGGACTGGTGGCTCCACCCACGCCACCTGGCCACCTGCAATGGGTCCAAGAATAAGTGGTGCCTCTCAGTCCTTACAGCAAATGGCATTGGGTGCTCATAGTCTGGCTGCAAAACCTACCCACCTATGTGCTCTAGGGAACAGGGACATGCTTTCCTCCCAAACACTCGGGCAGCCACCAGCCCTTTGCATTTCTCAGCATGTGACCCCCTACTTCAGCCACATATCTGTGCCTACACCAATCACCTATGCCTTTCCAGGACTGTAGGTAAGAGCCTGCACCACACACTTGGTGACCGACTACCTGGACACCTGAGCTGAATCCACATATAAAAGTAAAGAGACTCCTGGGCTCAGCTACCTAGTGACAGATCTAACCACCTGGTGACAGGATGGTAGAGCTTCAAAGGTGCCAATAATCAAACTCGCTCACATGAGCAGCCTATTTGGGCATATCAAAACAAACAAAACAAGAAGCTAGGACACAGTAAGCACACATAAATAAATATAATAACTTATTGATGGCTTGGACACAACAGCCAATATCAAATCACATAAAGAGGCAGACCATGATGGCGTCAGCAAGCTCCCAAAATAAAAAATTTTCTGGAGGGAAAGAATTTCTTGGAATTACCAGAGGTAGACTACAAAAGATTAATATACAGAACTCTTCAAGACATCAGGAAGGAGATCAGGCAAAACGCAGAACAAGCCAAGGAACACACAGACAAAGCAATAGAGGATCTTAAGAAGGTTGTTCAAGAGCATAATGACAAATTAAGTAGGCTGCAAGAATCCATAGAGAGACAACCATCAGAAATCCAGAAGATTAACAAATTTCAGAATTAGACAACTCAATAGAAAGTAATAGGAGCAAAATTGAGGCAATAAAAGTCAGAATTAGTGAGATTGAAGATAAAGCACTTGACACCAACTTATATGCCGAAAAATCAGATAAAAGAATTTAAAAAAATGAAGAAGCCCTAAGAATTATGTGGAAGTCTATCAAGAGGAACAACCTACGAGTGATTGGAGTACCAGGACAGGGGGGCGGGGGCATAACAGAAAATACGGAGAGAATTGTTGAAGACTTGTTGGCAGAAAAATTCCCTGGTACTGTGAAAGATAAGAAGATATATATTCAAGATGCTAATCGAACCCCACACAAGGTAGATCCCAAAAGAAAGTCACAAAGATATAATCAAACTTGCCAAAACCAAAGATAGAGAATTTTAAGAGTGGCTAGCGATAAACTAAAAGTCATTTACAAAGGAGAGTCAGTAAGACTAAGCTTGGACTACTCAGCAGAAACCATGCAGGCAAGAAGGCAATGGGATGACATATAAAAAGACTTGAAGGAAAAAAATTGCCAGCCAAGGATTATATATCGAGCAAAACTGTCTCTCAAATATGATGGCAAAATTAGGGCATTTCCAGATAAACAGAAGTGTAGGGAATTTGTAAAAATCAAACCAAAATTACAAGAAATACTAAAGGGAGTCCTCCAGTTAGAAAATCAGTAAGATCAGATAACAACCCAAGACTAGAAAAAAGGACAGAGCAACCAGATATCAACCCAGATAGGGAAGTCACAAAAATAAATCAAAGCTAAAATACTGAAAATAGGGAAA